GGCAGTGTAGTAGGATTTGAAATCAGGGAGTGAGATACCTCCTACCGTTCTTCTATTCTTAAGGAGTGCTTTGCTTATTCGCCACCCAGTTCTTTTGACTGCATGGTAAAGGAAGTAGCCCCTTACGGAGGCAATTAGCTATACCTCAGAAAGGAATCCTATCAAAGCATGCATTCTGGCATACTTTAAAAAAAAATCACAAGGAGAGATTCACTATAGACTGGCTTTCCCCCATAAAGATTAAAAAAGAACTTGAATTTATCTTACAACTTACTTTTCAACAGAACAGTAAAGGGTTTTCCACAATCTAGTTAGTATCATGGGAGGAAAATGAGCAATGTCCCCCAATCCTGTAATTTACTGCCTTTGAGAACCCGCTGGAGGGTCAGCTGTGAATCAGTTCTGACTGAATAGTACATATAAGAAATAGAGTATGTGGTATGCATCTCTCTCTTTTTTCCCCCTTACATCATGTCTTATCTTTTATCAGATTCTAAGAGTAAAAAGGAACGGAAGAAGAAGAAGAAGGTCACCAACATTATCTCCTTTGATGACGAGGAAGAGGATCCAACGTCCGGTGACGTGTGCAGAAAGATTCCTGGGGCTGGGGAGAGCTCAGAGGACAACTCGGACCGCTCCTCAGTCAACATCATGTCAGCCTTCGAGAGTCCCTTTGGACCGAACTCCAACGGCAGCCAGAGCAGCAACTCGTGGAAAATTGACTCCCTGTCTTTGAACGGGGAATTTGGGTACCAGAAGCTCGATGTGAAAAGCATCGATGACGAGGACGTGGACGTGGATGATGTGTATGGAAACACGCCGGGGAGGAAATGCTTGGGACACTCAGAGTCGCCCGAGAAGTGAGTCCTCCTTGAGGGTCCTACAAAGAGGGTTATGTCAGCTGGGTTTTTCCCCCTTCTCTCTCTAGTATTGGATAGGGAAAAAATGCAAATGTTAGATGCATTTAGGGCATTTCCGGTTCTCTGGTGTCCTGATTTCACGCGTTACTGTTGAGTTGGAACTAAACTGGTAGCCAGCCTGCCAGCGGATTTTCAGAGGCTGTAAATTGCATGAGAGGAAATTGCGCCTCTTTCTTCCCAGGAGCAGCTGGTGGATTCGAACCGCGTGCCTTTCAGCTGGCAGCGCACCTCCCTGTTAGGAGGAAGAAGTGGAAACTGTTCCTCTGATACCTCTGAAGAGAGTTTAGGGGCAGCCCCCAGGTTACGAACATCCAACATCAGAACACATAGTCATTTTATTCTCACTCACTGCCTGAGTCATGCTGGCCCTCCACGGGGTCTTGGATGCAGTACAGTTGGAATAGGAGGAGATTGCCCAGCTTTTCTTAAAGGAGAGTGGGTGGTTTCGAACTACCAGATGCTCATAACTTTGGGCGGGCAGTGCAGCGTGCAGTGAACTGAGCCTCCAGAGCTCCGTGGGTACCATCACTACGTGCCCTTTAATGCTGTGTAATTTGTCCTCACCTAGTGGCAAAAACACCTTTATCACACTCACCTTTAGTTGCTGCATGTGCAGCCTTTAAAGCACTGAAAAAAGTTCTGATCTTTTTCTCATAAGGTTAAAGAAGAAACACATATCTGTTCCTCCTTATCGACTAACTCTTAATATACAGGGACAGGTCTCACTCATCACCCAGGCCAGCTGTATATGAAGGTAGCTCTGAGCCTGCCGGCCGCTCTCTGAGACAAAGGGGGAGCAGTCTCTTCCTGGTAAGATGTACTGCCTCAGAAACCTGATGGGGTGGAGGGTCTGTATCAACTTGACAGCAGCAGGTTGGTTTTGACTTTCATACAAAGTTCAAGGGCCCTCGTGGTGCAGTGGTTAAGTGCTCAGCAGCTGACTGACAGGTGAGAAGTTCAAACCCACCAGCTACTACCTAGGAGAAAAGAGCTGGGAATGTGCTTGGCAAAGATCACTGCCCAGGAGACCTCTGGGGACGGGTCAGCCCTGCCCACAGGGTCACTGTGAGTCGGGACTTAAACAGCCTCACGCACACCAATTACAAAGTTCATGCCAAGGTGTTGGCCTTGATATTCTGGCTTTCGATACATGGCTTTCGTTTCCTTGCCTGGACTGTGTTCACGTCTCTAACTTGCTGTGAGAGGCTCAGGAGAAAGTCAGGGCTGTTCCAGAGACAAAAGGCAGGCAGATCGTTTCAGTTCATCTCCAAGGTATGGACAGTGGACTGGCTCCGGACAGGGCAGGCTTCAGAGCTGCTCATAGAGTCGTTATGAGTCATGGGCAAGTCAACAGCACATAGCAACACAACAACAGTCTGACTGCACTTCCTGCATTAACACTTGAGTTGCTACTGGTTTCTTCTTGTAGGAAGGTCTTGATTCATACAGAAAATCAAAGTTCAACACTTAAATATGAGAGTCAACGTTACTTGGACTCTTGTTTGCTTGCCAGGTGGCTTTTGCTTGGTGACTGGCTTCACCAAGAGGCTTAGGCCTCATCTGAGACCAGGGAGAAGAGAAGTGAAGCTTTGTAGGTCTGTTGTCCAGCCATTCATTTCCTTGATGGGGCCCTGGCTGGGTGAGACTGCTGGCTGGGTGGCAGGCACTGCTGGCTGGGTGAGACTCAACGCAAGTCAGATACAGTCGTTGTGGTAACCAACACAGCGTTGTTGCCAGATAAGCCACTTACCTTCTCACATCCCCATTCTAATCATGGTGGCCCTGAGAACCCCGCTGATGCGAGTATAAAATGAATGTATCAAAATGTTTCTGTCATGTCTGAAATCCTGTGGAATGATTCTGTGTCTGCTGTTCTGCTAGCTGAGTTCTCCATATTGTTTTACACTTGGTTTTGGGGGGGTTTTCTTTCTTTTTTGAGGGGCATGATACAACATTAGACATGAACATTTCAAAGAGGAGGGGGAATGCTTGTGAGGCTTTGTTTTTGTCTTCGATTTTTCACTTTAGTCCCCATTCACGTGGGTGCCTGGATTAGCGACTTCACCTTGTCAATCACGTGACGCCTGTATTAGCGGGTTCCGCTTGTCAATCACGTGACATGTATTAGCTGCATCACCTTGTCAATCATGTGATACAGCATTCGCATTATCGCTTTGTCAGTCATGCTATACCTGTATTAGCATCACCTTGCCCGTCACATGATATCTGGATTTGCAGCATCACCTTGTCAATCACGTGACACATTATTAGCGGCATCACCTTGTCAATCATGTGATACCTGCATTCGCATTATCGCTTTGTCAGTCTTACTATACCTGTATTAGCAGCGTCACCCCGTCCACCACGTGTAATAACGGCAGCTGTAATAATAAGGAACACACTTCCTGTTCCTCATCTTATTAGATGCAGCAACCCAATAAGGGTAGTGGGTAACACCACCCCCTCCCCATTTTATAAACTGAAAGAACTGAGTACCACAGTCCAACCACATGACAAACCTGGGAGTCACCCCTACCAATCCTCACCCTACTGCTCCCACCCTTTTCCCCCTTGGATCCCCATATGTGATTTTTTGCTTTTTTCTTTTTCTTTTTTAACAATTAAAAAATTTAAAACTGGGATTTAGGTGGGGACATGCTGGGCTCTAAGTCCATTTGTTGGTGTTCTTAGGTGCCATCAGCAAATTTCTGGCTCCCAGTGACCCGGTTTAGCAGAGGAGATCTGCTCTAGAGTTTCCTCGCCTGAAATCTGCACAGGTGCAGACGGCCTGACCTTCCCTCCCGAGGAAGCTCTGGGCTTGTTTGAACTGATAACCTTATGGTTAGCAGCTGAGAACTTAACCAGCACCTCCTAAAGCTTGTCCTGTCAAATATTTCCATATTCTACAAAATAATGAGAAGGGTTGGCTGGTAGTCAAATCAGTGTTGAGTATTTATTGTTTTTGAAAAAATGAAAGCAAATGAGGTTGATTGAGGGACATAAACTATCCAGACCAGGGAAATGTCCCTGCTCACAGAGTGAAAATGGCTACCCTATTGAACCACAAAACAAGATACATTCTTATATTCTTGAATCAGGAACTGAAGGTTAAAAGATTTCCAAATGTCTTAAAGACCATCAGAGGACTGAATGGCCAGATAACCAGAAGTGAGAAACTGACAGACAGTAGGTCCATACTCATATGGGGATTATGTGGTTGGTTAAGAGTATATGCCGTTCAGTTTATTACAGGGTGGTCCTAGAACAGTGGACAGGACCAGTTTTTCTGGTGAGCTAGTCTTCTCTAGTCTTGCCTGTTTCTGGAAGTTTATTGTAAAGATTCATTAAGATCCCTGTTTCTGAAGACTTCAGACTTGTACAAGCTGTTGCATCTTGCTCCTGTTCATCTTATAATGTCAAAACCCTTTTGGGACTAGCTCAGACCTCCTGCACAGACCAGGCCTCAGAGAAAAGGAAAGTTGTCCTTGGGGTATTTGACCCAGGTCAGCAGCGAGGTTGAAGGGACTGCCATTTGTAAACACATCTTTTCAAGTTGCCAACATGGATTCCAGACTTATGTCAAGACTTTGAAAATGAATTAAGGCTCTGTTTTAAATGGCTCTATTTATGCACAAACCAATTGCTTCTGATTTCGGACTCTGATGCATTCCTTCCTCTTGCTCATAGATTTTTATTTTTCAAGCACTTTGATCACACTTAGGCTTGCATACAGTGCTCTTCATGCATTGGTCAGTGATTTCTTTAGACGGTTGCTTGTTTTATGATAGACCCTTAAGACCTGAGGCTCTGCCCCCCTTGATAGTCAGCCACCATCTCACTTCTTCACTGCACCTCGCTGTACCATCCATTGACCAGCGGTCCTTTTAGGGAAGGTCAGTATGGAATATAGCCACTGTGGTGGAACTACCTGGTCATTATGTAATGAGGAAGCCTTCAGAGTAGGGACTCAGATCCACGGACAGAATAAACGTCAGTAATATACACGAGCTGCTTTATTGGTAACAAATTAGTTCTCTGGGTTAAAATACAGGCAATAATTTTAATGCAACATTTAATTGTTCTAATTAAAAGGAGAATAACTGTATAAACAGTGTCCTCGTCTATCCCTTCATAGCACATTCCCAGCTCTGTTACAAGAAAGGAATGCTTTTTAAAAAGAACTGTAGACACTAGGTGAGATCCCTAAATGTTGTAATGTACATAGGCCTGCCCTTCTAAACCAGTCGGACTCGACAGTTCCAAAGCTTAAAGCGCAGGAATTGGATTTGTGTTTTATATTCTAGGTACACAGGAATGCATAGCTTTAAGGATGGCAAATGTGACACCTCTAACAGTTTAAATCCACCAGCGTCTCTGAGAGAGAAAGATGGACAGTCTTCCCCCTGGCAATTTACAGCCTCAGAAAACGGGTAGGGTCAGCTGTGAGTTGGTCCTGATGTGAAGGAATAAAAAGATGCATTTCCTACTACTATTGTTTGGAGTAGGGGGAAGTGGATGGAAAAGTTATATAAAAATGATAGCAGTGCTACAGGAAAACGTGTCATAAAACTTCTTGGCAACACAAAGACTTTACCATCCAATAAATCCTAATTGGAAAAACAGGGCAGTTTTAAAACTAATTAAAAAAACAATAGCTCTAATAACTTGCATCTCCCGAGGGACGGTGTTAAGTCCTTTAAATGTAAGGGTATGCAATAAGAATAAGACAGCAAATAGGAGAAAAAGCAACCTATACAGTCCAAAAGTTCATCTCTGCTTATGTGAACTTGGACAAGCTGTCTGCCTCTTCTGGGGCCATTTGCTTCTGGCAGCTGGAATGGAACAGTTCACCCAGAAACTGGATTTTCTTTAATGGAAACATTGAATTCCATTCTTTGTAGTTTATCTGAACACATATTTGGAATCTCTTAGCAACTATC